TCCTACCCAAATCCTCACCTCAGCCCTTGCAGAGTATGGGGCTCGGGCTAGGTTCCTGTTACCTTTCTGACTCACTGACATCTGGCCAGGGCCCCTAGGAAGTAGGCCCCAGTCCCTTGAGCCCACTGTGCTGTCTGGCCTGTCTGGGAATGTGGGGTCCATAGGGCCCAGGCAGCTAGCTGCCCAGAGGTTCGTCATTCAGACAGGAAAGAACGCATCGGTCTAAGGAGGTCCCTTTTCTGGGACCGAAGACAAGATGCAGACTTCAGAAAGCATATAGACAGGAACTTAATTTCAAAAGTCTTAAATCAGGAGTAGCTTTCTCAAGGTACCAACATCTGGTTGAAGGGAAGGAGAAGCGTGAGGAATGCATCACTGACCACGGGAGAACACTTTGGCATGTTGGCAGTAAGAGATGCACAGCCTGCGCTCAGGCTGGCCATGGGCCTGTGCCATTTAGAAGCCTGGCTTCTGTGCACAGAGTTTTGGCCGCTGCTGCTTTTGTGGTGGTTGTGACGAGGCAGGTACTTTGGAGACCGGCCCCCAGAGGAGCCCAGTGAAAAGCAATGCAGAGGAGAGGGGAGTGTCTGCATTACTTACTGAAACTTGATGTTTCAGAGAGTAAAGACAGTTAAAGTTGGACAAATGGTCTCTCAAGATGACCTGAACACGTGACCTCACATGGCCCTTTTTCCTTGGGTGAGAGGGAAAATCCCATCCATACGTCTTCAACTTAGCATGCACTATGTCCTGAGGAACTTTTCTTCCGTTGGTGCGTTGTTGCCTCTCCCTAACTTTCCTGTAAGGACCAATCCCTAATGTATGTAGACACCTCCAGTTCCAGAGGAGCGGGTGTCACCTCCCATCTCCTTAAAGAGGTTATTCCATGGACATATAGCTCTTCTCGGACCCTGAGAGGCTTTATCTCTCACCGCCTCTGGCTCTGCTCTGGCTCGATCCTGCCTCTGGTCTTCCTTTGAATCGGCCACACCCTGTAGGTCTCCCTCTCAGCAGCAGCTGAGGCCGAGGGATGGGGAGGTCGGAAGAGGCTCTGCAGGCTGCGCGTAAAGGAAGTATGGCTCTTCTGCCGAGCTCTGAGTGTGCTTGTCTTTCTCTCACAGGCAGCCAGCACTGAAGAGTGACGAGAAGCCCGTGGCCAGTGTCCGTCCTGTGCAGTCCACCCCCATCCCGATGATGCCCCGGCATGTCCCACTGGGAGGCGGTGTCAGCTCCGCCTCTGGCACAAACCCGGCTATGAACTTCCCGATCAACTACCTGCAGCGTGCGGGCGTCCTTGTGCAGAAGGTGGTCACCACAACAGGTGGGGAACTCCCGGGTTCTCTCCAGGGTGCTGTCCCTTTTCAAGTTACCGTGTTCATTCAGGAATTTGAGCACTTATTAAGCACCTTGTGTATTCTGGGCCTTACTACATTGGCACTATAGGTAAAAAAAAGACAGCCGTCCTTTATCTTGAGGAGTTTGCACTGTAACGACACATCTTAAGAATAATAGCATGAAACTGGGTCTTCCTGAATGTGGCGGTTGGGATAGACTCCGAACACAGCGGAGATTGTGGAAATGTCACTGAGACACAGGGTCAGTCGTCTGAGAGACCTGTGAATGTGTTGAGTCTGGCCCGACTGCAGGGTCAGCTACATATGAAGGAAGCTGTCAACCTCCCTTCTTAATTAGAAGACCTGAATGTCATTTGCTGCTTTCTTCGTGAGTTTGATGTGGCTCGAGCGTGGTAGACCAGTGGCAGGTGCATGGCCCACGGTCCTTGTGATCCGCCCTGTGATTCAGGGTAATGGGGAAGGAAAGCATTTCACGATGCTGTTTTTCATCTTGCTATCTAGAAATATTCATGATCTATAAATTTTAATGAAATACCTTAACTGATTTTTTGAGAATGAAAATAATACATGTCCATGGTAAAAAAAAATTCGAAACAAGTGAAAACAAAAAGGGAGCGTCTTGTAATCACACTTCTCTGCTGATGCCTGAAAGTGCCCTTCACCCTCAGCTAGGTGTGGCGCGATGCCAGGGCGGGCAGGCCACCCCTGGGACCTAGCGTGATGTGGAGCAGACACGCAGATAGCTTGGGGAGGGAGAAAAATACATAGAAATAACCATTTGAACCAAAACCTTTTTTTCCTTAAAAGCAGAAAAATTATAATTTTTATTACAGAAAGAAAGAGGGCTACTTTGCTCCAAATAATATTTATATGGGACCACATCATCACATTAAAGCTGTATGTTCACAAAATATATAGGGGCATTAATTTTTTTTAAATTTGTTTTACACTTAGTTTTTTTATTTTTTAGTTTTACAATTCAATGGTAAGTCACATGTATTGCATTGTGTGTTCACCGCCAGTAGTTAGATTTCTTAAAACTACGAAACACTCGCGAACTTGCACGTCATCCTTGCGCAGAGGCCGTGCTGTCTTCCCCATATCATTCCAGTTTTAGTACGCGTGCTGCCGAAGCGAGCATGCACCAAAACTCTTTCTAAGCCAAAAACTCCATGAATTTCTAATTAATTCGGGGGAAAGATGATCAGATTTCTAAAAAGTTTGTTTTCACAGTATTCTTTGTTTCGACAGTTGTGAGAGGTCCTGCTTGCTTCGCCCCCTCGGTTCTGAGCCCTGCTCTGCCGAGCGGCTTTAGGAGAACCACTGGGGAGCGGGGCGGATGTGGACTGTGCAGTTCCCTTCCCCGCCTCGGTCAGGCCCACGTCATCTAAACCTGAGTTCTGTGTCTTCACTAGATATCGTTATTCCTGGACTCAACAGCTCCACAGACGTGCAGGCAAGAATTAACGCTGGCGAGAGCATCCACATCATCCGTGGGACAAAAGGTGAGAGCCTGACCAAGGGCTGGTGCCGGAGGGGGATGGGAACCATCCTGTAAGAGCGTCACATGCAGGGGAAACATGAGAAAGTGACTCTTCTAGTTCCTTAGTAGGTAGAGGTGGGCCCGAAGGATATCTGTCAGTAGCCTAAAAGAAGGGAGTGCGGGTTCCTGCATTTCTGTATTTTACCATTGCTTCTGTGGAGAATCTCGGGGTGGGCTGGGTAGACAGCGTGTTTCGTATTGGTCTCAGCCTACTGATGGCGATGCTAGCAACGCCTAAGTCACCTGGTCCTGTAATTCCTGTGTAAACATCCCCCCACCCCCGCCCCCGCCATAGGCATTGCCCCAGAGCCAGTGTTGTGGCCAGACTGGCCCTTGTGGTTATTGTGATTATAAGACACAGCAACCATCAGGGAACTTTGAAAAGACAAGGTTTATTACTCACAGGTCCTGGAGGGTACATGGCTTGTTCGAGGGCCTCACAGGGAGATCATGGGTGGAGAGGGCGAGCGAGAGTATGAGCCTCAGTCTCTGTTTTTATTAGGGTTCAAGAATGGGGTGCCTAGGGCTTTGCGGTTCACTCTTTATTGGTGAATTTAAAACATAAGAGCAGAAATTTGAGCATGAGAAAAGAAAAGCGGGGTCACTAGGTTACCTAGTTTACCCTGGTTACCCTGGGCTTTCTAAAAGGGGAACTTCATGGGTGGGGACCCCCTGGTTCATCATCTAGTTGTTTAGCTAGTCATGGTGTCATACAGCTGGAGCTTGTTTATTGGAGATGGATGTCTTTGAAACAAAAGCTTCGGCAATCAGAGCTTAACGTCTGGCACTCAGTGCACACAGGGAAATCAAAACTAGAGGGAAGGAGCTGTGGAATGGGTCCTAAGCCAACATGTGTGTTACTTGTGTCGTCTTACCCACTTGTCTGGAGTAGGGGCAGGTCTCTAACCGGGAAATGTATCGGGAGGATGAATTGGTATACATCGATTGCTTGGCAGAATTTTCAAGTGTCGTAATTTTAAAAGTCCACTGCCTCTGGCCACCTCACATGGGGAGCTGAGATTGCTGGAATGAGAAATCTAGGCTGGGCAGCGTCAGGACCCTCTCTAAATCTGTCATTTCAGCCTTTACTTTGTGAGGCTCCCTGAGCTCCCTGTTCAGTAAGGAGATTTTGCCCTAGCCTCTGTTGGGTCAAAGTACCTTTAGGCTAAAGGAAAAGATGCCACGAACTACATGACACACAGAGAAAACCGTACCCAGCCCCCTTACCAGGCTCTTCCTGGCCCAGAGCAGGAGTTGGCAAACTCTGGCTGGCCCACCAGCCAGACCCAGCCTGCTTCCTGTTACCATACCTGTGAGCTAAGAATGTGTTTTACATTTTCAGTTGGTTGGGGAAAAAAACCAAAAGAATAATATTTTGCAGCAGGTGAAAATTATATGAAATTCACATTTCAGGGTCCATAAATATTTTTAGATCATAACCATGACCAGCTCTTTTCCTGCTACAGAATTGAGTAGTTGCAGGAGAGATCTAACGACTCCCAAAGTCAAACATATTTACTAACTAGCCTTTTAAGAAAAAATTTGCCGACCTCTGACCTAGAGGCAGCCCTAACCCTCCAGGATTGATCAAAAGACATACCCAAGACAAGGGAAGGTGAATTCGTACTACGTGGGAGTAGAACGCAGGTCTAGAATTAGGCCTGCCAAGGGAGAGAGCGTTGGGGCAGTAAGGCTCCTTCCTCCCAGACCAAGAGGCGGACCTGGGCCAGAGCACCTCTCCTTCTTCACAGCACCCACGTGTTCCCTCACTGCATTTAACCTGTCTGGGTAGTTCCTGGTACTGTTGTCCAGCTCCCGCTCCAGAGGTGAGCTCCATGAGACAGGGCCCTTTTCAAAGGTCTTACATGCTTCAGGGTCTAGAACAGTGCCTGGTACGTAGCAGTTGTGCACATCACTGTTTTTGTGGAATAAGTAATAATATTGGGCCACAGCTCAGTCACCCCACTCCTCATTTCAGGGCTCTTCAGACAGGGTGTGAGACCCAATTTTATAGCTGCCTCCCAGCCCACAGTCCCTAGGCCTGGAGTTTCGCAGGGCTGGCAGCGTCCATGCCTGCTCCCAGCAGTCTTCCTCATGTCTCTTCTTAGGGACGTACATCCGCACTAGCGACGGGCGGATCTTTGCTGTCCGGGCGACAGGCAAACCAAAGGCTCCTGAAGACGGTCGGATGGCCGCCTCAGGTATGGTGGCTTCCACCTGTCTGTCTCTCTCTATCATCTATCATCTGTCAATCATTTATCTGTGGGTTTTGTTTTGTTTTTTTTTTTTTTTGGTTTAGTTTCATTTATAATTAATTTATTTTTTGAATAGTTAATGTCTACCTGGTTCATAATTCAAAAGGTACAGAAAGGGGTAAAGTGAAAAATAAGTTTTTCTCCCCCCATACCTCCAGCCATCCATTGCTCTTTCCTGGAGGCGTTGCTCTCATTCGTTTGGTTTTTAGAGATGTTCTATACGTATACGTGTACAGAGATACGTTTCTGTCTGTAAAAAAAATGTATGTATATGAGTTTTCTTTGTATTTTTTTTTTATTTTAACGCCTACAGCACGTGGTATTTCTGGGAGGTCTCCCATCCAAGTACTAACCAAGCCCAACCCTGCTTAGCTTCCGAGATCAGACGGGATCGGGCTCGTTCAGGGTGGCATGGCCGTAGACTCTTTGTATTTTTAAAACGAATGCTAACTTACTGTAATGCACTGTTTATTCCTTTTCACTCACCAGCGTAGCTCAGGGGTCATTCCTTGTCATCGCTTTAGATGTGCCTCATTGAAGGTTGGGCCAGGATGCCATCAGATGGGTGTAACGCAGTGTATTCCCAAGTTCCCTGTCCTTGGACATTTAGATGCTTTGGCTCCACCATTACAGTACTGGCGCCTGGTCACGTGGGTGTATCTGTAGGATAACTTCCTAGGAGTGGGATTGATTCAGATCAGAGTATGTGTGTGGCACATCGACCCCTTAGGAACTCTTGCCCAGGTCCCCTCTGTCGAGGTGTTTCTCATTTATCCTTCCTCCGTGCAGTCTGAGCTAGACTACTCCCATTCCCAGCTTTGGCTATGGAAATGTTCACACGTACTGACCAATCGAAAGAGCAGCACTGTGAACACCGTGTGACCTGCGCCCAGGTCCAGTGACTGTTACTGTTCTCATAAACATCCTTTGGTCTCTTTCGACTATTTGTAAATTGAAGACATCAAGTCATTTACCCCTAAATATTACAGTACACATCTCCTAACTATTACAACATCCTTGTCACACCGAAAGATAATGAAGAATTCCATAGTATCCCCTACTGTCCAGGTCATACCACAGTTTCCCCTGTTGTCCCAGTCGTCTTCCATGGCCGCGGATGTTTTGTTTTTAAACCAGGATGGATTGCTTTTTAAACTTCGTTTTCCTCATTTCTCCCATCCTGGTCACTGACCCTTTGCCTCCAGAAGGAGTCTGACTAGTTATAAGAATGATCGCTTAACGTTTCACCTCCATTATCCCATAGGCTTCACCTGGGTGGAGTTTTACAGATTGGGGACCTGGGCTGAAGGGAAATTACCCGTTTTGTCACGGGTAGACTTGTTTCCTAGCTCAAAGGCTTTCTTTCTTTGGGACTGGGCAAAGTTGACTGGGCGATGTTGTTTGGACATCAAACTATTTGAATTTTGGGGACCACAGGACAGGATTTATTTTCATGGCAGTTTTTCCTACATCCTCCATGTCTCCCTGCCATTCTGGTTCTCAGTTACCTGTATTTTGTACCCAGGTTCCCAGGGGCCTTCTCTCGAGTCCACAAGCAACGGCAGACACAGTGCCTCATCACCCAAAGCCGCCGACCCTGAGGGGCTGGCCAGGCCCGTCTCTCCAGACAGCCCGGAGGTCCTCAGCGAGCTCCAGCAGTACGCGGACGTGGCTGCGGCCCGGGGGTCCCGTCAGAGCTCCCCGAGCGCCAGTGCCGCCCTGCCTGGCCCCCCGGCCCAACTCGTGGACAGCGCTGCTGTGCCTGGGACAGCCCTGGGGACTGAGCCTCGACATGGGGGCCATTGCCTCAATAGTTCCCTCTTGGTGACCGGCCAGCCCTGTGGTGACAGGCACCCAGTGTTGGACTTAAGGGGCCACAAGCGAAAGTTGGTCACACCACCTGCTGCGCAGGAGTCAGCCCGCCGGCGGTCCAGGAAGGGCCATGTGCCAGCGCCCGTGCAGCCGTACGAACACGGGTATCCAGTGTCCGGCGGGTTTGCCACGCCTCCCGTCTCCTTAAACCATAACCTCACCGCCCCCTTCACCTCGCAGGCCGGGGAGAGCTCCCTTTTCATGGGCAGTTCCCCCTCCTACTACCAGCTGTCCAATTTGCTGGCAGACGCCCGCCTGGTGTTCCCAGTGACTACTGACCCCCTGGGGCCCACAGGCCCCGTCAGTTCTTCTTCCACGGCTACCTCAGTCACTGCCAGCAGCCCCTCCTTCATGCTCAACCCCTCTGTCCCAGGGATCCTGCCCAGCTACCCACTCCCGTTCTCACAGCCACTCCTGTCCGAGCCGAGGATGTTCGCGCCTTTTCCTTCCCCCGTCTTGCCCAGCAGCCTC